TGACAATATATGAATATTGACCATTTTTTGGTATATTAGAATATATTTGTATATTTCACTGTACACCAGAGATAAAAATTTTAAATGGCAATGTTCATATTTAATTCCAAATGATAGTATAATAAGCAGAAGTTTTCGATGTATATTCTGTTAGTAATTATTATATGACTACATAGAGTAATTACTTACCATGTAGATACATCTGTGCTAAAGTACCACAAAGTGACCATTTTTCAAACGTAATACATATTACTCTATATTTCAGTATGAAATATATACAGGTGCAGTGCGTTACTGACATGATCTCTGTCGATCTTTGGCTCAAAAGTGAAGAGGGGCAAGGGGATTCGGCCAGACGCTCCACCTCAGCTCGCGGCTCGGCCAATAACAAAGACGTGCCGATACTAATTCCTCCATTGCTATCGAGCTGAGTGTCGCGAGTGGACGTCTCCCCTTGCCCCTCTGCACTTTTAAGCACCATACCGGCAGGGATCATGTTAGTAACGCACTGTATTTAATAGCGGACATATCAAATCCGAATAAATCAATTCACCACTACAAACCGTCTGGAAATAACTCAAAAACTATACTTTAATCATGTTTTAAGATTATTACATACTATTGCACAATATTATTTATGCTTCTCTTATTGTACGGAGTATTTAGAATATAATATAATATTTATAACATAATATTTGTAATATGTAATTAAAAATACACTACATATTTTAAGTATAACGGAGTAAAAGATATTATTAGAAATCATGTAAATATTTTATTTGTTCTTATTTCTTCGAAGATAATCAATATATATATATGATCGTTTTGGTTACAAAACAGTTAAACCTCTATTTTACATAGTTCTCACTTGAAATATGACGGTAGAAAGAAAAATTGTTCAACAATCTGTAGATCAACATAATTTATTACTGCAGAAGTAATTATAATAAATATTAACAGAATAGAGGCAGGAAGGATGTAATTAAAGCATTGTATCTGAAAGAGTCCTTCGATTTAATTGACCTACGTAAAAAGAAAATTATGCAATCAAACGGTACATGCGCGCATCACTCAAAAGATAAGAACATTGATGTTAAAGTGTGTAATAAGCCGAAAAGGAGATATCTGCTATCTCATCAGCTGTATCTTCTGCCTAGTGGCGGGAGATATTATCGCCGAAAATAAGAAACGATTAAGTGGCTGGAAACCATAAAATTCATCGTCAGCTTGTAGACGTTTAAGTACATTTACATTTTTTAAACGTTTAACCTTTTGAAGATAAAAATTAACCGGAAATGTATTTTTTTTCTTATTAATGAATGAGTTTGTGGAAGAAAATTAATTACATAATGTGTATTGCATTAAATAGGATGATGAAAGTATGAAATGTAAAATAATATAAATTGTGTTAATCACAATGAATTTATTAAGTTAATTAGAAAATATATACATTATTTTTTATTTTGATAGGTAATCTTTTATTTGATTAAATGAAATTCAAGAGTAAATAATTTTTAGAAACGTTAATATTGATTAGTAGTTAAATAAGTTCAATATTATTTGTATATTTGTTTGCTTTGTGTAGGGGTTCATTAGCGATAAGGAAACGTAAAAATTCCCTTTTCCAATCGTATCTCGTATCAATGTGTCTCTCCATATTCATGCAAGCTGTAAATTTATGAAATCCGCAGTCTGTTCGTCATTATGGAAACTTCAAGTTGGTGAGACTCGCAAGTATATTTTGAGATTTTAGTTTTAAGCGTTTGTTTTTTGAAAATTGTAAGCTTGGATAGGTTACTATTAGTTCAAATTTATCACATTCGAAGACATGGTAATTCTTGACGTTGCATTTGTAATTTTTTTCGTCTATCTCCACGCATACTATGCTCTGGCATTTTTTCAGTTTTATATAGAATAATTCTTTTTATCTATTTAATGAATCTATTTCTGCACACTTACACTTTATATATTTTTTCTGAAGTGAGTCTTTAACATGAATGTTCATCGATGCAGTACGAATTAGGACATTAATTTCATTTAATTGATCAATGTTTTTCATTTTTATTATTCTTGAAAGATTAATAAAATAACGAATCATTGTAATTAAATATATTTTATGCCACTATAATATGAAATTAAAACAATGAAGTAAATATATTTCAATTAAAATTAAATTAGACGATTTCTGTAATAATTTTCAAACGCATTTCCTTCGATTTTTAATAAATTTTTGAAAGAGAATCCTTCGATCAATTACTGCAGTATAAATGCATTTCAATTCTAAAACGTTATTACCTCGAACTAAATGAATTCTTTTTATTCTTTGGGCAATATAAAATAATATACTACATAAAATTAATATTTTAAATAAGAAAAGAATATTTAAAAAATGATACACATGTTCTGTTCTCTCTAGTGGTAATATATAATATATTTATATAATAAGTTGATCTATCATAGTAGACCTTACATGCGGACTAGTCATTCAATGGATCGTGGTATTTATCTCTGAATGAGTGTAATATTATATGTTCACGCGAAATTTAATAAATTGTAATTCTTTTTGATATCAGATCTCATCAATCATTATGTGGTAATATGCCGACTGTACAATCATAAATTAATGTTTTGAGGTGCGATTCTACATGAGAAAATAAGATGAAAATTAAAAGTAAGAACATTGTTTCATGTTCAAATTATTAACGAAAATTATGATGAGTTATTTGTCAATAGTAACGTGTGAATCAGGTCAACAGGAGCATGAACAGTGATGTGACATGTGAAACACTGGTGCTTCTACATAGTAACGGTTTATGAAAGGGAATAAGACAAAGGATAATGTACTTTACTATTTTTTTGTTTTCTATATGCGTATTAAAGCGTTTTTAATATATTTTCCATCTGTTCCTTATTTCAACAAGCCGTAATGTTTTATTGTATTTTTTTGTCGAATTCGAATACATCGAGTGGTTTTATGGATCATAAATTATCGAAGCAATTTTATTGGACAGCCGGGGTTGTCATAATTTTTTTTTATTAATTCTTTTAGTTTCCAAAGAAAAATGTTTGTTAAGAAGTGAAGAAGTTGTATCATCGAAAAGAACATACAATAGTATGAAGTAATAATTTTATTTAAATGTAGGTTAATCATTTTATTCTCACCGATTTTCCATGGTCTATTTACGATTGATACATATTTTGTACGTTAATTCTAATTCATCATTATAGGTTAGGAAACACAAAAAATTATATCCAAGATAAATGAATTCTATAAGGTACTAATTGTAAACGTTTTACACAAAAGTTGATATTTCTTTCAAATTTAGATTTTCACATGAATTATTGTGGTACAAAGTGATTTTGATGATTTAAGAATTTTACTTTTATTAGCAGAGTTTGGAAAAGGATTTCTAGTGAAAATAAGATAAAAATACAGTAGAACCATGATTATTCGCACATATTAGAGTGAATAAGTATATCACATGAAATTAAAATAAATAAGTACATTACGTTCAATTACACATAAGTACATTAATAGAAACATGTTGCAATACGTTCAATAAGTTTATATTGTAACTCAAAGTATTTCGTTTAATTTATAAGCAGTTCCAAAAATTAATTATTTCATTGTTTGATTAACCATCTTGGTCCCAATCAATTCGGATAATCAAGATTTTACTGTACTATGACTTTCACTTGAAGATAAAAACATTATACTCAGTAATACGATTTTGATCCAATATTAACGAATAAATATAAAGGAATAAAGCGAAGAATAAATTTAATGCACTTACTTCTCGATTTACGTGGTCTTTTTCTACGCGGTAAATAATACCTCCGTTTACACGGTACGTTTTCTATCCAGTCTCATGTTACTCAATCGAGAAATATATCTATCACATTTAATATATAAGCAATCAATATTTTGAACGAATTAAAAATAAAAATTGGACTGTTTTAAGATACAATATAATAGAACGAATGAGACTACAAACAATAATTGAAACAAAAGAAATTTAAAATAATAAATTAAATAATATTAATATGATAAACAATAATAAACAAAAAATTTCATTACGCGATTGATGAATGTTGTAAATCATTCTATTTACTATAAATATAAGTAATACTATTACAATATAAATTACATTATTAACACTAAAACAAGCACACTCGTCAATATGATGGATTTTAGTTTTCTAATTTCGCAATTATTGACATCTTAAACGTATTGAATAATTGAAATGATTTGAAAAATAAGTAGTTTCACTTTAATTCTACAATCAATGTATGAAGAAATCGAAAAAAAACTACTGTTACAATTTTTATAAAGTTTATATATTAATCATATTAAAGGTTCGCATGGTCCTAGTATTAAGGCGCACACTACATATAATATAACACAATATATTACTAAATGAGAGCGAAACTAACTGACCGCATTAGGTCATCTAGCTATCGGTTGTCATGGAGATGTTTCTTTGAAAATGGTCAGTGAAATTTAAGAACGGCAGACAGGCCTGGCTTTAGTTACTTTACTATTGCGATTACAATAATTAAATATTTAGTGTACTTTTTAAACAAGTAATTCTTTCAGCAAAATTTGTCATTTAATGCGTGCACAAACCTAACGTTGAATTTCTCTTCTATGTCTAACAGTTTCTGAGGTATTGGATAAAATAGCTTTTTCGATCTCAACATTGAGGGATGATTTTACCCCTTCAATTTCTTAAGTTCTATATTACTCTATATATTTATTCATAAGTTTATTTCATTTCATGTTCTATATATATTTCAAATTTTCCTGTCAATTAAGTGACGCTTCTTGTCAGTCTATTTTTGCAAAACACCTGAATTTTAGCTGTTACGCTCATTAACGCTCATTAATGAGTATTAGGAAACTAAGTTTCGACAAAAGCACCTTAAAAGTTTTATAAACAATTACTAGACAAATAGGTATTTTTGATGGTTACTTTAATTGGTTATTCCTCCCCCGTACACTTTCCTTTTTCATCATAAAAAAAATTAAAGAAAACTAAGGATGCTATAATTATGTTCTTTGTTTATGAGAATTTCATCAGCGTTTATTCTCAACTTCTTTGCTGACGTGCTAGTAAAATAATTAGCCAACGTGCATTATATACTGTTTATTCCTGGAGGTTTGTCTTGTAGTTATTTTTGCATAAGCCTTCCCTTTTTTATTACCTTCACGACCTACGATTTTGAACAAAGTTTTAAAATATTTGCGATAGTTTCAGCTATAGGCAAATACAAGTAAACCTCATACAGACTTTACTGAAATAAAATCGGGTTGCATGTACGATAAATGGTTAGGAAGAATGTGCGAAATAATAAATCGCGACGTAAAAATAGTTTGTATGTCTTAAATTTTAGTTACAGACTTTTGTATATAGTTAATGAAATCAAAGATTTTTAAATCAAGAATTCATAAAGAATATTGTTATACTATGCTAATTTAATAACTAATTAGTACAGTTGTTAACTGATGTAATAGACGTAAGAAAAATAATCTGTCACATAATCCTTAAAGTCTTGTTATTTATTTTCTATCAGAATTAAATCATAGATTAGAAGTTGTTGTGAAGCGTTTTTGCTTTGATGCAAAATTAATCAGGGTCAATAAGATCTTCCAATATGCGGATTACAATAATTAATCAGATCAGTATGTAAAGTATATATACCTTAATTTCATTCTTTTCTCAGATCAAAACACTGTCATTTAGTTGATGACATTAATATTGATTTATAATATTGATTTATTGGAAATAAATAAATATTTGTTCTAAAATATTCCTCAATAAATTTGTCAAAAAATGAATTGACCAATAAATCTATCAAGTATCACATCCGAAATAAGGTGACCATTTTTTCTGCAGTCTTCTGAGGGATTTATGTATTAATATCCAATAAATTTTCTACTGCGAATTTTACGATCTCTAAGTTACACTTTTGAGAAGCAATATGTAATATTGTTTTATAAGTATCTGTAGCTGTTACTTTTATGTAACAATATATGTATTATTAAGTAGTAAGTGTAATTTTGACCAATTGTTAATCAAAATTTGGAATACTCATTCTTGAAGCAAAAGTTTACAAAAAAAAACATTAACTGTTTCCTATCAGAGTTTAATACCTAACATTGAAAAACTGCTTAATCCTCAAAGTTGGTAATAAAAGGTGAAACATTTTTCGAAAATTCAGGTGTCCAAGAATATTATGAATAATTAATTTTCATAATTAACACGTTGAATTCCATTCGGGTCACCCTACCCAAATCCAATTATTGTAATTTCTTCAATTAAACGATGATTATTTGAAAACATTCCTATATTACAAATAACGTCGTTTAATGCGTTGGCATTCAGCAAGACAAACCTGCGACTAATATTATTTATAGGTATTTAAAACGGAACGATCGTGAAAAGCTTTCTCATAACTATTATGAACATTTATAAAACAATTAAACATTATATATATACATATAAGAAGTGACCGGGGTTCAGGTCTATATAGCACGTAGTCACGGCCCTGCATACCTGTGGCCGGCGAGCGATGGCTGTGTGGCGCCAAAGTTTCGTGTTCGCGCTCTTCACGGACATTTTCTTAACCTGTCCGAAAGAAAAACCGTTTTCACACTTCCCGCGGGGGAGTTCCTCTTCAGAAATGTCTGCAGAATCCAATGGTGTACAGCAAATTCGTGCTGGCCAACCCACTTTTCGTAGAAATGTAACAGAAGTGCATACAAAGTACGCGCATCTACCCTTTTTTAAACTTTGATCATCGTTTACAAACATTTAATGATACACAAAATTCAAAATTTTTATAGCTACATATTCGGGCAAGCCTCCTCTATTTTCTACGACAAATTTCAACTGCCTATCGTTTTTAGTTTCTATGTAACACTTGGTTCTCTGAAAAGTTCGAACGCTTTTACAAAACCCCAGTTTTTTCGAAAACTGGACCTGACCCAGCAATTTGGTTTTCGGATTCGTATTTACGGTAAGGAACTCACAAGAATCACCTAGTGCTTATTGCAAAAAGCAACATAGGTTAAAATTTGTTCCACAGTGTAATCAGAACTTAATATTCAATTTATATTTAAACAAAATAAGCGACACCTAGATTTTTCAAATTCGGTTTCAAATTTTCGTCACAATTCTAACACGATATTATAGGTAAAGGGGTCAACACTATTTCTACCGAAGGTGTCAAAAGATACCTTCTGAAATGTTAACTTAACATTATTCTCCAACTTTAGTCGTATATTCTGAATAGACTTTTCGACTTTTCCAATGATTATAAAATTAACTATAGGAAATGTCTAAAATTCAATTGAGGAGAAATGATTAAACTGGGAAAATAATTTCAAGTTGAAATTTCAAAAGGTGTCTATCAACACCTTCGGTAGAAATAGTGTTAATATCGCGCGACATTCAACGTGTTAAGTACCACCGAAAACGGTGCACATTTTAAAATTATTATTACAACGATCTCGTTCGATCTAATTACCCGCGCGATGCACATAGCCTCTGTTACCTGGTGCGTCGAATTGATTTGAATAAGTGTATCTCTTCACAGTGTACGATTATGTACAATGAACAACTCGTCACGAGTTCTCCGCTTCCTCTCCCGTCGTGCCCGCCGCCATCACGCAAAACCCGTTGGAGGTGGGACGTTTGTCGAGCGGTGAATTAGATTCAGTGAAGTAAGTTGGTGAGTACGCGACAGTCGATCCGGTATTGTGTGGAATCGAGTCGAATCACTGGATCCCCGTTTTTGTTATGTAATTCTCCTCTCGTCTGCTCCCAAACATAGAAAAGATCGCTAAGCCGATCCGATACATCCTTCGCTGGTTGCTGCATCATCCTGGTGAGTCTTATGCGACTGCAACAATTTGTAAATTCGCTCGCGGCCAGTGCGTTAATCGCCATGGATAAATTTTTAACTGTCGGGGATAATGAGAGCACTTGGATGCCTATTGTACTCTGCAATGCTGTACAAGTGACGGACAATGATGTTATGATGTGCTAGGTATCGGACAAAATTCGTGCGGGTTCTTAATATTAAAACTACCGGACGGATTAAAATCGTCCACTCCTGATTTCTTCTTTTTGCAATTATTAAAAAGATAACAGATGTTTCTTTGAGCAGTTATTAAGGAAATTGATTTAACAATACCCAAACTGAATTGGAAATCAACTAATAAATGCACTCTTGGAGTTTCTATAGAGGAATTTCAAAAGGAAGTTTAATTGTTCGGTTGTCTTAGTGTTAAATCAACATTTAAACACAGAGAACGTTTTTGTGAAATAATTTGATTTGATTTGATACCAATGGCATAAACATAGCTTACTGCTAGTACCGATTTCATGCATTGAACTAGTGAAATACTGATCGAAATCGGACCTCAATTCATTGCTAACAAGAAAATTAAAGGAATTTTGTCTGGTAACTAATATTTATTTCGGAAAGGAAGATGTTGAATTTTGATGGATAAGATATTGATGTGCCTTTAGATTTTGGAATTATCACCTAGGAATTTGTTCGCGTATACAGGTGATAGGAAAATATTGGCAGTGACGCTTAAATAAGGGAAGTTAGATTTCAGATGTACATTGATCACTGCTGCAGTTGTTATATGGTTAATAATGGAATAAAATATTTGATATTTCGCAGTTTAATAAAACGTTCGTTGCATATGCATCAATGTGCTGATTGTTAGATAACTAGTAGACTATTGTTAAGGTTGATATTGATTGTAGTTGAATTATAAAATAATTTTTATTTTGAGAGTAAATAATGCAGTTTCGAAATTATGTGGAGCATACAGCGGAGCTTCGATTAATGAAATTTTCAATTACTAGTACACCAATTTGAACAAAAGATTTAAATGACTGAGCAATGACTGGATTGATGTGTTTACAATCTACAACATTTTATCTAGTGTTACAAAGTTTGTTGATATTATTGCTATTGGCATTTTTAATTTTTTGTTAAAAGTATTTTTTATTAAAGTTTTACATAACTTCACTGTTAAGAATTTATGTTTAACTGTATTATTCTCTCTTTCTGTAATTAGTGTTATTGTACTGTTCTGTTTTCAAAATACGTAAAGGTCTACACGAGGAAGATAGTTTTACATGCGTATATTCAATTACTAGAGTTGTGTAGTTTTATGAATATCCATGTGATACATATTCATCAATTATTACACAGGACTTTCGGTAAAATTAATATGTGTTATAATCAATATAAGTTCTGTGAAATAAACAAATATATAAGCCGTAAAAAAAGAATTTTTTTTCTTTCTTTATGCCTTGTATATGACTTTTAACTGATTTTACATATTAATTTTTCATTTTACTATTTTACTTTGGAAGAAAAAGTAATAGAACTTTATCATAACTTAATCAGATAAATGTTAATTAAATTGTCTGTTTTATTTTCAATAAAATAAAAAAAGGGGAAATACATTTTAGTTCACTTTTCAATTTAGATTTATTTGGAACATGTATATTAAAATTATATCCAGGTTATTTATAATTATGTATGAAGTACATAAATTATTATACAATATATATTAAATATACACATTGTTGAGTATCTCTACTTCAATACAATTGTCTTACATAAATTCCAATCTATTCCCAATGAAGAAAATCAACATACTTTTAGTTGTTTACAACATTTTGAATGACGGTTACATTCTGAAAAAATATATACGTGATGACACTCAATAACTATCTTCGAGAACATTCTTTAATTAAGTTTATAACTGTATTATCACATTTTTTTATGTAAAATATCTTGCATTCTGTTTTACCAAGTCAGCTAGCAGGTAATTTTAAAGTTTTCATTGTATTGTTTTAAAATATATGATTATTCGAAAATTTGATATCTGTTTTAAATTATTGTAAAAAGTATGTGAAAATTGATTCACTATTCATTACTTTATTAGAATTATTACTTTCTTACTACAATTATATGATACGTGTGTTATAATTGTTTACGTAATTATAAACTTTTGTTTTTCCGTTAACTGTTGATTTGTATTCAAGGAACACTCAATCTTTGTTAATATTATTAATAAATTTGTAGATCATGTAAAGCTCATTAAAAGTATATACTGTCATCTGTAGGGATCGTCTTTGTTCGTTAATTCTTTCGTTAACTCCGTCGTAAACAGATGCTTTATGATTGATCGATCGTACTTAGAGCCGTTGATAGCTAGATTTGCAGGAAGTTAGACACACTTCTGGACATAAGTTAAAGGCTTTACAGTCGAATGATAAAGTTGACACCTGTAACCACGTCTAACGTCACGTTAACTCTTCTACAATATAATAAAAATGAAATGACGTATGAAAGAGGCATTCACGACAAATCTACGTGACATACAAGTTCTCATTGCAACAACTAACGATAAACTTATATCGCGCAATGATTTATATCTGAAAATTATATTAATAATTGCATCATTTATAAAATTGACAATGATTATCATTATCTATCTGAATAATTTATTTCTATAAGGCAATGTGATTGTACTAAAATGTAAAATTATTATATAATTATTATATTACTACAATAATTATTACTATAATAATAATTTTAATAAATATTAATAGAATTATTATAATGAAGTATCTATGAATTACAGATATAAATATTATTATCATGAATATTTCGTATTTTTATTTCAACATACAAAAGTTCTGTAATATTATACTTGATTAAAAATTTATTTATTACTGATTAAATGTCATTTTTTAAGGAGTTACTAATTATTATCAGTTTACAATACGAATCATCACATGTAGAGGTTTCAAAATTACGTAAAATATAACGAAATATATTATATCGAAAACGAAACGAAAAATATTAACAACTTAACAAGTAACTAAAAATGGTAACAATATTCGAACAATCGATTAGGAATCTTTTGAGATAGATTCGTTGTTTTTGTTTTCACGTTTGATACCATAATGCGAGTCCACAGTGTCATAAGCTAAAGTGACGGTCGCAATAGTTTTCCGTCCCAGACCAATTAATCTAACATTTGGGTGGTCAGGGTGGGGTGGACAAGTATTCTGACCGTCGGTATAAATGCACAATACATACGATATATTACAAGGCCTGGGCTTTGAAATACAGCATTGGCGTGTGAGAGTTTGTTTGACCATTAATTAACCGAGTTAGTGTACATTTTCTACGGTCTGTGGGAAATAATCGCGCTCCTACTACATCGTAAATATGAATGGTAGCGTCGAATGATTGATAAAAATGAAACAGCTTTTGGAATTGAAATTGTTAGAAATTTTTAAAACGCGCACCAAACTTTGAAATATCTATTCTTTCTCTCATACTTGATAATACTTTTTTGTTTATATTGATCAGTATCCTGCTTAAAAATGAAATCTTATTTGGTAAAAATGAGATTTATCTGTTTAAAATATTCACTTGTTTTGACATAATGTGTTAAATAATCATCATTCGGATATATCAATGAAGTAATGAAATGAAGTTTATTGAAGAAAATACTTCGCTTTATTAGAAATTAAACTGCAAATTTTTATGTGTATACATTTCACGATAATATTAAATAATATAATTTTTTACTCACTGTTAAAAACTGTGATCACTAATTTGTAGTAAGTATTTATTTTGCAACTTCTTATAACACTAATTAAAATTAAATAACGCTTCAAAAGAAATAAAGATTAGAAAATATAACTCTTGTGCAGTTTCCCTTAAATAGAAATGATTGATTTTCTTAATAATTAACCTTCATAATCTCCCACATGAATGCAAATAAAAAAAATTAACACAATTTCAACATTGCAATGTATATTAACGTGAAAGTAAACTTTTCAATATTTCCAAATACACTTTACAACGATACAATTTCTAAACGAATATTTTGAGGAATAAACTGTCATGTTTCGTTGTTTACTGATGTAGTTTACACGAAGAATTTCACGTTGATTCAATCCGATTAATTGAGATTTGTAATTGGCGAAAGTAAAAGTTCCAATTAGATTACTGAAAGTTGGGTTAAGCCATTGGAATTATTGAATTTAAGTTAAAAAAAATGCCTCGACGCGATAAGAGAAATATTTAAGGTACACCGATAAGGAAAATATTCCTTCGGTAAATTATCCTAACACGAGCGACGTCCAAGTTTCGACTCACGGACGATTCGTTTCATCCGTTCATTATGCTCAATTTACTGAAGATTTCCACGTGCGTGTCCTATGCAAGTGTTCGTTTATTTCTCAAGGTGCACAACGGACTTTGCTCCGCGAGTTCTATATCTCGCGCGCTTATCTGAATAGAGGACGGTCATTGACGATACATATTTCTTTGTCCTCTTTCATTTCTTTTTTTTCACTTGTTTTTCTCCACTGTTAGATGAGATTTTTATCAGGACGCCTGAAAATACGTGGGATTTCGTTTTACCCATTATCTTTGGGGAACATTGATACGTTACATAATTATATAAATAGTTTGTGTACCGGTGGCAAGAGCAATTGTGAACAATTTGTAAATAAATTAATCTTTATTTCATTACGAGATTAATCAGTCATGATACGATCGTCATGGAAAATTTGTTTGTCATTGATCAATCTGTTAAGTACAATTACTTGTCTCGATAATGCTTACTTTGATTTTGTAGAAAAAGGTTAACCTTTTTTCATAAATATTGAGCTGATGTAACAATTTTGACGTTTTTTTGCACGTAGTTGGCAAACAAATATTTTTCTTCGAAAGAAGTAACATCTGTTTCTGAATTATTGTAGCGTGTATAAAGGGTATCGTTTTCTTCGCTTTTACTTAGTTTTGGTTTAGCCGTCGAACAGCTGAGAACC